TATTCAAAAAAGGTCCATAGACTATACCTTGGACGTCATTTCCTCATAATGTTTTCTGTGCTCGTTGTGTGAACCACGTTTCGTATTCTCTTTGATAACAAGTAATTTAATAAATACACATTTTTTTTCCTTTTTTGAAGATTTGTTTGATTTTAAGATGCTTAAGCGGAAGTTAAGTACGTCGGAGATTGAAAAATTACAGCATAAGCTAATTAAATATCAGAAGAAGGTTCAAGATAACGAAGAATTGTCATATTACAAAGAAATAAATAAGAAATGTTTGTCTTATTAAATACAATATTCGTTACTGGTTCTTGACAGTCTCTTCATCCTGTAATAGGAGAGGACTGTACATTTGACTAGTTAGAATAATTAGCATCAAAGAGGATAGCAATTCTAACTGGATCTCTGATTGTATTTTTAGAATCAACTGTGTCGGGGTCTGATGACCAGGTGCTCATTGACAACAAAGTTGATCCCTTATTAATTTGGGTCAGGCCATTGGCTCTTTCTTCGAGGAAGCAGAAGACAGTGAGATGAAACCACATGTCCTTGGTCACCTTTGTGATGCAAGCCAGTTGTGCACCAGCTCACCAAGACTCGCCGTATTTATTGGGTTGTTCGGAAAGTCATTTCGTTTTTTCCCGACAGAGGATTTAATTGTATTCTTTTGCACCAAACTTCACATTTAAGCCGTATAATTTTTATATGCTTTGAGAGCTCATATAGCAAGGCTTGTGTGTGAAAAATTCCAATTAATTCTACGCAGTAGTTTTTGGTTGGTGCCCTTTTAAATATGGAGAGCGATAAGCAGCATTTTCGACATATCTTACTGTTTTACTACAGAAAGGGTAAAAATGCTGTTCAAGCCAGAAAGAAATTGACTGATGTGTATGGAGAAGGTGTGTTGACAGTACGCCAGTGCCAGAACTGGTTCGCTAAATTTCGATCCGGCAATTTTGATGTCGAAGATGCACCACGTTCGGGAAGGCCGGTTGAAGCTGATAAAGACGCGATAAAGGCATTAGTTGATGTGAACCGGCGAATAACAACACGTGAGATCGGATTGAGGTTAAATTTATCAAATTCAACAGTTTATGACCACTTGAAAGGCCTGGGATTATCCTCGAAGCTCGATGTATGGGTTCCCCATGTTCTCACAGAGAGAAATCTGTGTCGCCGCATTGACGTCTGCGATTCGCTTCTCAAACGTCACGAAAATGATCCGTTTTTGAAGCGCATCATCACTGGGGACAAAAAATGGGTTGTATACAACAACGTCAAACGCAAGAGGTCATGGAGCAAAAAATATGAACCGGCTCAAACCATTTCCAAATTTATGTCCTCATATTTTTTAGTACCTAAAAGTAACGGGGAAAAAAATTCGTCCTTAACTTGAAAAGATTAAATGAATTTATTCCTAAGGATCATTTTAAAATGGAGGATGTAAGGATGTGGATATTTGGTTTTCTGTATTTCTTCGTTGTAAAAACCTCCGCTTACAGGATTGCCATTTAAATCTTCCAGTAAATATGTGTAAGTATAAGTGTACTTAATTTTTGCTACTCTAAATAATTCAGTTGTCCAGTTAAGTGTGTAAGACATTGAAAATATATTGTAGTGACCACGAGTGTGTGTGAAAGGTTTATCGATTCGCCGACTGGCCGCGGGCGCCTTTCTTCATATGCGCCGTATTTGTAAATGTGTGTGTCGTACCTGCGTTCTTGGAAAGCAGTTAAACAGTTCAAAGAAATAAATAAAATATCCGGATGTTTCTAGAATGCTCCAGAAAGTAAACAAAATAGTATTTAAAGGAAGAAACGATCGCCGAGAGAAGTAGAAATAAATTGACTGTCGCAGAAGTGAATCCAGAAATAATTTTACAGTGATAGCAGTGAAATAAATAACGCAGTGAATAGTGATATATCAACAGTAGTGTAAATAATTAGAATAATTGATAACCTAAGTTTAGTAATAATTTAATAGTGTTTTTAAGTTCTTCAATAATTAGTATAAATAAATAGTTTTGTCGTTATCAGTCTTAGAAGTAAAGTTTGTTAAACCCACGAACATTACAATATGTTCAATATCACCCACTTGAAATTTCGGTTTCCCATCTACCATTTTAATGTGATTGTAAGCGGTATCAAGCAAGTACTTTTCATTTTGTTTTTTTATCGCTTTCGATGGTACCATATTTATTGTTCTACGTACAGTATCGCTGTATTCATTGACACCGTCATCAGTTACGTCTATGCACTGATATGAACCTCTATAGTCAAGTGCTTTAAATAATTTAGTTTTGATTGTTCTAATTACATGCTCAACAATGGATGCCTTTTTTACTGAATAACTACTATAATGATTAATTTTATATTTTTCCATTGAAGATTTAAAGTGACGATTATAATACACTTTACCATGGTCAGTTTGTAAATTTTGAGGAAAGGCATGGAAAGTTTGAAGGATAGAATGCATTGCTTGTGTAACCTCGTTTGCCGATTTATCATTCATTGTTCACACCCACACATATTTTGAAAAACAATCTATAACGATCAAAATAAATCTATAATTATCATTTTCTTTTGCATAATCTTGCATATCAATTAGATCACTTTGATATATGTCAAGTAAACCTTTAATTATTACACGTCGACGTTGAAAAGTTTTTCTAACAGCTCGATGAATTTCATGAACCACACTGCGGTTTACGATGTTTTCTTTTAGGAACGTTGGTTAATTGGAACGGCATGCTTCATCTATTGCTGCCGATGCTGTTGGTCTATCGCTGTTGCTTGTTTTTTTTTTGAAACGTATTTATACAGCAATATATGCAATGTTTTCTCAATGGGGCAGGTCCGTCAATAAGCTCTGAGCCCCTATTCTAATGCTTGAAACAGGGTTATTCTTGTTTGAATTCTTCGTCGTCCCTTAAATGCTTCGGCATTTTGTCCCACGCATAATAACGGTCCAGGTAACTAATACGGTCCAATAGATACTGTCTTGGTAGAACCGCTATCTATTCAGGCGTTAAATGTTTTAATAACCAATTTTTCTTTTTCAATTTTTTCAACACTATTAATATTAGATATTTCATTTCTTATCTGCTCCGTGATATTTCTTATCTGCTCCACGGTACTCATTATACTGAATTAAATTGAGAAGAACATCCTAAATGTAGGTTCGGAACTACCTACTGGTCCTAAAGATGACGCTGCTGTGTTGTTTTTAAAAATGGGAATGATTTTGTTGTTAGGGGGCGTTACTTAAATTAATTGCATCCTTAACAAAAGTCTTCTATTCTTGCACCTGACGTGGCATTAATTCTTGATGTTGATTATGTATATTATCACGCAGTGAAGTTTTAGGGAACTCAAAAACTATTTTAGACTTTCAAAACATATTTCAAAATTAATTAAATATTTCATAATTATAACGTTGCTATTCTTTTCAAATTCATAAAACGGATATCGAGTTCATTTACTTGCAAAATAAGCGTATTTGGCATTCTGCAGCAACGAGGCAGTAAGTGAAAACAATTATTTATTTACAAGCAGAATTTGACGCCAGTTCGATAGCTCTAGTCATTGGAAAAATTATTGAACTTCGCGAAGTCATCAGTAGGGACTTAGTCAGTTTTTTTCATATTGTTGGGCGTTGGTCCAGTATTGTAGTCGGTAGAAAGATGTTAGTTGGAAGAAAGTCTGCCCACTCGCTCCACGGCTTTTCTTTTTCATTGTGGTTGATTTTTTAAATTGTATATTGTGGGAAGTCCATGTGAAGTGAACAGCTCCATCGTTTTCTATCTATCGGCGACCATTGATAAGTGATGAAGTGGTATCCCATCCCGGTAAGAGTTGGAATTGGTGTCTCTTCCGGTTCAGAAACTATAACTTTGATCTGCTGTTCTATTTTGTTGGTTTTGGTTGAGCAAATATTTGATTTTTGTGGATACATCAGTGATTTATGGGTTATTTATTTTGATAGAAATCGTCGTCTTCATAATCAGCATTGTTTGTTGTGCTTTCTTGCTGTGCCTTACCCAAAAAAGAATCAGAAGAGTTAAAATTTGTTGATTCCTCTACTGTGCTAGTGCTAAGCTCTGCAGTTTCAATATTGCTTGTGTTTTCATACTATTCTTGATTATATTTAAAAAATTCTTTTGTACAGGCGATTCTTTAAGATCATTTACATTTGAAGTGTCTCTTTTTTCTTCATAGGTCTTTTTGAACTTTAATCTCTCTGAACCCATTTCTCATCATAATTTTGATCAACAATTACTACTACATGAAGGAAGACAACGTCCGAAAAGAATGCTGCAAACCCTTACTTTCCTCCGACCATTTTTCAATATAATTTTGATCNTGTGGGAACACTCGGTATAGCAGTAAACAATTCAAATGTGTAATAATTAAAGTTCATCATTTCTGCCGACTTAGTAAAATCGCGGTACAGTGCGGCTAACTAGGTCATAGACATTTACACACACATATGTAAACTGCTGAACTAACTATTGCCATTAAACTAATGTAAATAATTTTTGTATAAATAGCTTGTAAAGAATCGAATAAAATTAGTCTAACACCAGGCTCGCTATTATTCGAACGCTGATAAAGCGTCAACCCTTGGAAGCTGTGAACTGGTGCCAATCATCAATGATACAGATAATGTATCCAACGATATTATGAATCGGTTCTTCTCAGAACCACAACTTTGATAGTCACACCTTACTACGACCACACAGGGTGACTACAGTGGTGACTCCGACAACGAACGCATGATCAGTGATGAACTACGATTGGTGACCACAGCCGCAACCTTTTGAGGATGACCTGCCGCCGTCACACATTCTCCACCGGCCGATCCTCATCAGGACTACATTGGTCATCCTGCGGAGCAGCGCAACCCTGCTCCTCAGCAAGCAGCATGTAAGCTAACAACACCGCCCAGGCCAGCCGCAACGTAACGCCCAACCTTGCCACAACACACCGCCGTTCACCATGTCCCTTGACCGACTTGAAGTCAAATTGCCACCCTTCGTGCCATCCGACCCCGAACTCTGGTTTTGCATGGTCGACCGCAGTTTTGAGGCCTACGGAATTACGCCCGAATCAACAAAGTTTGGGTATGTACTAGGCAACCTTGACCCTCACTATGCGGCGGAAGTGCGTGAAATCATTGTCAATCCCCCGGCGACTGAACCATATGCCACCATCAGGGCAGCACTCATTCGTCGGCTGGGCATCTCCCAAGAAACACGGATGAAACAACTCCTCGAGCCAGGAGATTTGGGAGACAGGAAATCCATGCAATTTCTGTGCCATCTACGCGGTCTGGCCGGAACCACTATGTCGGACAATTTACTGCGAACCATTTGGTCAAGTCGTCTTCCTTTTAATATTCAAGCCATCATCGCAACTATGCGCAATAAGAATCTGGATGAAACAGCAGAGGTAGCTGATTACATCATGGAAGCAACGCAAACACAGTTCATGATAGCAGCTACAGCCACACCTACTTTCCAGCACCATACCATCCAACAACTAGCCAACATGGTACATACCCTCCAGATGGATCTGAACAACATGAGACGACACATGGCAAGAAAATTGAAGAACCAACACTGTTCAAATTCACGCAGTTCTCTACCCCGACAGCGTTCCAACCACAATATTAGGGCAAATGGTCAAGGGCAAGGCACACTAGCGCATCCCACCATGACGGATGACAACAGGAAATTAACCAAGCAACCACGTATGGCAACGACAAGTGAGGTCCACACAGCGCAGCGTCGCCTATTTGTAACGGACAGAGCCACAAACCAAAAATTTCTGGTCGGCACCGGTGCAGATATCTGCGTGTATCCCAAGTCACTAATACCTGGGCCACGTCAGAAATCCACATTCACGCCACAAGCAGCGAAAGGCACCAACATACCGACCTATGGCACTATTATTCTGTCGCTCAACCTAGGCCTACGAAGATGTTTCCCATGGCGTTTCATTATAGCCGACGTCACCAAACCAATTATCGGTGCAGACTTCCTTGCGCACTACCAACTGCTGGTAGATTTAAGCAACCAACGACTCTTGGATCGACTGACAAAAGAATAATGTGTTCAACTAATTGTTTTCTCACTTTATCTAGTGCTGGTTGTTGGGGCAACAGATTCAGAGAATTTTCAACATTTTTGATCACAGTTATAACGTCTTTATCTTGTAATTTCTCCTTTTCTACGTTGAATTGTGGTCCAAGGGAAACTACATTTTTGACATGCTCGGGAATGTCTAAATCAGTCAGATTAACTTACCATTTTTTCTTGTATTGGTTGTTATCATTAGGATCAACGAGAACACGGTATTTCTTCTTTCTCAAAAAATATAATTTTTTTGCGTGTGTTAGATGACAGGTATTATTAATTCTATCGATTTTCGGTCGAAAAAAAGTATTAAAATCATTAAGAAGATTGCTCGAAATGGTTCCGCGTAGTTTTTCTTCTACTTTGACGATATTTTTCTCAAGGAATTCGATATGCGTGTTATAGTATTCAATTTGGAGGTTGAGCACTCTTTGTTTAACCATCGTCATAAGTTTTTGGTACTTATGATTCGTTCTGTTGGCACGGAACTGGATATGACTAAGGCTGCAACTAATATTATCAATGAAGTTCGGTGTCAAGTCCTCAGTTCTGCATGATAGAAGAAAGGTGCGTCGACGTAAACTTTTTGTCAAGGCAATCCTGATGTTAAGTAATTTTTTCATCATGGATGTAGTTTCCCAGTTGAGCTGGATCGTGATTGTGTTTAGGAAAATGGTTTCTCCTCGTAGGTCTATCTCATCATTTATCCGTGGTAACATATTTGCAGGCATATCCACGTTGTATTAAATTTATTAATTGAATCTAATTTCGTTGGTGTTCAAAATTCAAATTGTAAAAAATGACTATAATCTCGCCAAATAACCAACGATGTGTTCTATATTTGAAATTTCTTTATTGTAAAGGCATAAAAGCGACGTTTCGACTGTCTATTTCAGTCATTTTCAAGCTACAAAATTTAAAATTACAATAGTAAGTTTCCATTATTCAATCACAACATTTTAACAAAAGTAATAAAACAAAAAATTATACCTCGAATTTCTATCATTGCTTGCAACTAANAGAAGATTAAAAACCAGAATCAAAGAACATATAACAAACATTTCACAAAAACCGGAACGTCATACAATAGTCACTGAACATAGAATAAACAATAATCACAATTTCAAATGGGACCAGGTTAAAATTTTAGAAAAAGAACCTAATGAGAAAAAAAGATTAATTTCAGAAATGATACATATTAAGAAAAACAAAAATTGTATTAATGCGCAAACTGACACTGATAATTTGAATAATGTGTATTTACCATTACTTACGTGAGACATCCAGTGCTTTACAAACCTTGCCTCTTGACATATCGATAGTTTGACTCTAAACACTACCAAAAACTGACTGTGATAAATTTATTTATTGTTACTATTTATTAAATAAGACAAAGTTTGTTAATATGAAAACCCTTGTTAAAACCAATTGTGATACTAGTCGACATTAGATGCAAGCAATAATAGAAATTCGAGGTATAATTTTTTGTTTTATTACTTTTGTTAAAATGTTGTGATTGAATAATGGAAACTTACTATTGTAATTTTAAATTTTGTAGCTTGAAAATGACTGAAATAGACAGTCGAAACGTCGCTTTTATGCTTTTACAATAAAGAAATTTCAAATATAGAACACATCGTTGGTTATTTGGCGAGATTAGAGTCATTTTTTACAATTTGAATTTTGAACACCAACGAAATTAGATTCAATTAATAAATTTAATACAACGTGGATATGCCTGCAAATATGTTACCACGGATAAATGATGAGATAGACCTACGAGGAGAAACCATTTTCCTAAACACAATCACGATCCAGCTCAACTGGGAAACTACATCCATGATGAAAAAATTACTTAACATCAGGATTGCCTTGACAAAAAGTTTACGTCGACGCACCTTTCTTCTATCATGCAGAACTGAGGACTTGACACCGAACTTCATTGATAATATTAGTTGCAGCCTTAGTCATATCCAGTTCCGTGCCAACAGAAAGAATCATAAGTACCAAAAACTTATGACGATGGTTAAACAAAGAGTGCTCAACCTCCAAATTGAAGACTGTAACGCATATCAAATTCCTTGAGAAAAACATCGTCAAATTAGAAGAAAAACTACGCGGAACCATTTCGAGCAATCTTCTTAATGATTTTAATACTNTAAATATAATTTATTGTAATCGACTCAGAGTAGTTTATGAGGTGTTAATTAATTTAAAAGAGTGACGAACTTTTTTCTATGTAAAATTTATTGTAATCGACTCAAAGTAATTTATGTGGTGTTATTTAATTTAAATGTGTGACGAACAAAAAAGGGTAACACGCAGTCAGAAAAAATCGAGCTCGGAGGCAAACGTTGAACAAATAAGTAACAAAAATAATCAGGGGGCAACAAATTCGAAAGAGTTCAGACCAACACACAGCAGCACTACTACAGATCCTTTCACACCTCAATCATCCTTGTCTAGGAGTCCACCACGACAATCTCCATCTATTTTTACATTTGAATTACCTGAAGTATATCAGGCACCGAATTCTAACTCTACTCAATTAAAAATTACACCAGCCCCTACTTACACGCCACAGAACGCTGAAAAATAACACAAACACCCGAGTCACCCACTGTTGTATTGGTGTAAAGCACGACAAAGTGCATGTGTGCCGGCAAGTATACGAGTTATGGGGATGTATCGATCCGCGTACCCGCGCCGAATATAGAACCATATAAGGAAAGGTATGAAGGTGCGTCAGTACAGTACTGAGACGGCAGCTTAGAGGAAAGGNCCTGTTCCATAAAGCTTTCAAACGTTTGGTAAAGTTCACCACTCCGATAATAGCCATGAAGTTTGAACCAGTTTCGGCTGACTCTTATTTCTAGTAGAGATACGTTAGATATTAAGAATTTTGGTATATTCAGAAGAAAACAATTTCTACCATCATCTGGCCTATATCTAAACGAATTTAACGTATTCTATCATCTTAACATATATTTAGGCGAGTTTTCTATTTATTTTTTGTGTGAGTGCACTTATCCTTCGAATATTTTGTTCATGTGGTACAGCAGTACACCGACGATTGTATAATATTTTTTACGCAGTGATGGTTAAGATGGACAAAGAGGAAGGGAACAAAGAGGAGTGTGGCGATATGGTTCCTCAAGTTAAACTGAATACACTTCATGTACCTGGAAAGGAATCGTTCTGTATCTGCCATACATCACGACTGTGCTGGGAATAAAAGAAAACTATGTAGCACTACTATAGTATTTCTGTCACATTTTAACCCATTACAGTTAATGGACAGTGTTTTAAGGTAGTACTCTCGTTACCACAAGTGTCAAATGACTGCTCTGTTATTTGACTTTCGTAGTACATTACATTTGGCAACGCCGCGTAAAAGCAAAAGAGACAGAAGTATGCTTACAGTAACTCTCCTAGTGTTCGCCGGTCTTATTAATAATGCATGCGAAAGAGTTGGGAATAGATAATGACAAAGCACATGATATTCTCTATTACGTAAGCATTTTAGATAAGATTTTACAAAAATTAAATATTATACTTCGCTCTTTACTGAATTGGGATGATGCTTGCAATAAAATAATTTTTTTCCAAAATTTGCCTAGCCCAGTGAAAAACCTTTAGTTATTAAAAGATAGTACATCAACTGGTATGAAAAAAAAATGGCTGCTGCAAACGTGACATAAGAAATGCATATAAAACGAGTAAATAGGCATATATACAACTTTCAGGTAAGGAGAATGGTGCTGTGAAAGTTACCAATTTGAAACAAGAGAATAAAATTAAATAAAAAAATTTTCAATATTTTAGTTTGTTTATGCAATAACATATATTTTGTGTTATATGTCATTTTATGTAATAAATTTAGCTGTATTAATGAAAAGTACTTGTCNTTTCCAAATTTTGCTTAACACAAATACCTAGGAAATTTGACACTAATCCCATGCTCTTTCATTTCAAATTCTGGTTTTAATTTGTCTTTTAATTGTGAAATATGTTACTCAATTGATCCAAACAAATAAATGTCATCTACATATAACAAAACATACAATCCATCTTTCCCATTGCACCTTTTAAACAAATATGAGTCACAATTTGGCTTCGAAAAACCTTCTCTGGCCATAACAGTATTAAATTTTGTGTAACAGCACTTTGGTGAGCTTTTAAGTCCATATAATGATGTAGTCACCCTGACTGTGTAGTCGTAGTAAGAGGTGACTATCAAAGTTGTGGTTCTGAGAAGAACCGATTATAATATCGTTGGACGCATTATCTGCATCATTGATGATTGGCACAAAATCACAGCTTCCAAGGGTTGACACTTTATCAGCATCCGAATAATAGTGAGCTTGGTGTTAGACTAATTTATTCAGATATTTACAAAACTTCAACGCAATTCGTTTTATTGTTCTTTTATTGTTTGTTTTTATTTTGCATTAAAATTAGTATATTTAATCTTTACTTTTTGTTTAATTTTATATTTTTTTATTCTAATGTTTATTATAAATAGTTTTGTTAATTATTATTAATAAGTGTTACTTTATGTGCGGCCCACCAAAAAATTTTAAAATTTAAATTGGCCCGTTGATTAAAAAGGTTGCTCATCCCTGGTGTAGATTATGACAAGAAAAAAACGATAACCGGCGGTAAAGTGCAGAGGGGTGTATTTGGGCGTATACTTGGTATATCTATTGACCACAAAGTCGATATAGTCAAAATTTTTTCGTATCCCATAACTCCAGTTCGATTATCAATGTGCCATTTTGATGATGGCATTTGTAAGACTCAAGAATCCATTTTAATGAAAACTTTAGAAAAAGGAGTTGAACGTGATCCACCGTCTCATATAGATATTTTAGTAATTGATGGATGCTACCTACTTCATTAATATAAGTCTTGCCTAGTAAAGGGCGCGTTTTTTGAGACTGCGGTGTGTTCAATTTTTGGAAGCCGTTAATCTTTTCATTAAGAAGGTGTGTTCTGATAATATTCTTTCGAGGAGAAAAATGGCTTCAAGAAAATTAAAATAATATCTTTTGTAGTTAAGTTAGTGTACTTATTATTTTAACTTCTGTTATGTTGATTTTATTGTTTGCTTTTTAGTATTACCTAACGTAACCTTATTGTTCAAGTATTAAATTGCAGAAAGCTGGTAAATACGAAGAATACGGTTCTATTTTCCACGATTGGTTGAGAAAGGGGTTCATGGAGCGTGTTAAAACGGCACCTTATCTTAAAAATAGAGCACTCGCAGATACAGTTGAAACTAAAACACCGTATGAAATATTTTTCAAAATAAAACCAAATGTAAAGTATTTGAGATTGTATGGCAGTAAAGTTTTTGTACGGATACCAGAACAGTTAAGAAAATCTAAATGGGACAATAAAGCAAATCGAGGAATTTTGTTGGGTTATACTGACATGGGCTACAGAGTGTTAGTAAATAATAGAGTGATTGATGCAAGACATGTAGACATTATAGAAGAAAATGTAAAGTGTATATGTTTTAGTGATGAGGAAAAGGTAAATGATACTCGTAGTGAATTAGTATTACCTAACGTAACCTTATTGTTCAAGTATTGGAACAATGAGCATGATAGGGTTCAAATATTTTTCGTTTTTTAAACTTGCTTATCTTATCATTTTATTACCTTACCTCCAGTCACGCTAAAATAATTAAATTGCATTAAAATCAGGTAATTAAAATAAATAATTAACAAATTACCGATGTAACATAAATGGTGAAGACACCGTTTCCAAATCGACCGTGACAGAATTTTCTTTATTTGTTCCTTAATAATGTCCATAAAAACAATTCTATAATCATCCAGCGTTCTTAAAACAAATGTATTTGTATTTTCTTTTTCCCTTTGGAAAACTTTATCAGTTGTCTGCTCTATTATAGTTTGTAAACGATCCGTGCTACTTGCAATTTTGGAATCAATCGTTGTTTGAACAGATGCAATAACATGATCGATCCTGTTGTAACTTGTTATCAAAGCAATTTTTATTTACAGTATCGTTAGGATTAATGGGAGATTTCACGTTACATTCATCCAGGTCACCTTCTGTAGTAAACATGAAACAGAATTTTGTAATTTTGTTAATATTTACTGGTGATGACATTGGTCCACCACCACCACCAGCAATATCTGTAGAGCATTTTGACTGACCGAATTTGTTTACACTCATTCTAGCATTGATTCTAACTTACTACTGTGTCAAATAGAAAGTAGGGTAATTTATTCGTTTTAAATAATCAGCCCGCCTCCCTCAATTCAGAAATTATTGACGCTATTTCACTTGTATGAGAATGATTGTCGGCTTCTTCCGAAGCTAAAAGCAACCTTAGTCGGTCAACTATTTCATTAATGTCGTCAAAATAAACATACTTGATAGGTTTCTTGTTATATACCATGTTTAAATTTAGTCCTTTGGCATTGTTTTTACTTATTTGTTTACTAGACAGGTATCTTGGCAGTCTTGTATTAGGTGTTAGTAATTGTGTTCGAAATAATGGCTGTATTATTTCGGTATATTTAAAAGATCTCCCCGCTCTTATTCGTTTTTTTGGGTTAAAATCATGTCGATGTGCGTTTGTTAATTCTAATATCTCTTTACAATTTTTATAAGTCGTGTTTTTTGTAACCGGTAGGTGTTTTTTGAATATTAATTCAAATAAACCTGGTGTTCCACGGAAGAGAACATTCTTTACTTTTATGTTACTGTCATCATCAATTACCAATTCACTATATCTCCCATAAGCAATTTATTAATTGTATGATTGAAATTAATGCCATACGTGGTGTCGAATTCATTCAGACTATCTTTTAAAAATCCCTCTGTATATCCTCTTGCTAATAGCTTATATGAGACGAACGAACGTTTTTCTGCTTACACATTTGAATAGGATTTGACAAAAAACAAATATCAGGTCGGCAACTTACAATATTAAAAACAGTGTTGTCAACCTTTTTACAGTTGACCAACATTATTTAATATAATATTAACGTGTTTGCATTGCTATATTTATTTATTATAACACCCCTTCTCAATGAAAATTCATTTTATTTTAATTAACACAAGTTTATAGTTGCGATCATAAAACTACACTTATTTAAATGTTTTATAAATAATTCTCTACTTAAAGACTTGGTTAACATGTCCGCAGGTTGGTCTTTGGTACTAACATAGTTAATAGAAATTTTATTTTGTCTTACTAATTCTTTTACAAAATGGTATCGAATATCGACATGTTTTAACCGTTTTATTGTATATGTCTTAGCGTTTAACAACATCCAGTTAACATTTCTTTATAGTTGTCCATAATTAACCCTTTAAGAACACTTTCCAAATAATCATGTTGATCTAGTTCTGTAATTCCTGTTTCCAAATTTTGCGAATACCTAGGAAATTTGACACTAATCCCATGCTTTTCATTTCAAATTCTGATTTTAATTTGTCTTTTAATTGTGAAATATGTTCCTCAATTGATTCAAACAACAAAATGTCATCTACATATAACAACACATACAATCTATTTTTCCCATTGCACCTTTTAAAAAAACATGAGTCACAATTTATTTCAAAAAACCTTCTCTGGCCATAACAGTATTAAATTTTGTGTAACAGCACTTTGGTGAGCTTTTAAGTCCATATAATGATGTAGTCACCCTGACTGTGTAGTCGTAGTAAGAGGTGACTATCAAAGTTGTGGTTCTGAGAAGAACCGATTATAATATCGTTGGACGCATTATCTGCATCATTGATGATTGGCACAAAATCACAGCTTCCAAGGGTTGACACTTTATCAGCATCCGAATAATAGTGAGCTTGGTGTTAGACTAATTTATTCAGATATTTACAAAACTTCAACGCAATTCGTTTTATTGTTCTTTTATTGTTTGTTTATGTTTTGCATTAAAATTTGTAGATTTAATCTTTACTCTTTTTTTCTAATGTTTATTATAAATAAGATTTTATAAATTATTAATAAATGTTCCATTATGTGCGGCCCACCAAAAAATTTTAAAATTTAAATTGGCCCGTTGATTAAAAAGGTTGCTCATCCCTGGTGTAGATTATGACAAGAAAAAAACGATAACCGGCGGTAAAGTGCAGAGGGGTGTATTTGGGCGTATACTTGGTATATCTATTGACCACAAAGTCGATATAGTCAAAATTTTTTCGTATCCCATAACTCCAGTTCGATTATCAATGTGCCATTTTGATGATGGCATTTGTAAGACTCAAGAATCCATTTTAATGAAAACTTTAGAAAAAGGAGTTGAACGTGATCCACCGTCTCATATAGATATTTTAGTAATTGATGGATGCTACCTACTTCATTAATATAAGTCTTGCCTAGTAAAGGGCGCGTTTTTTGAGACTGCGGTGTGTTCAATTTTTGGAAGCCGTTAATCTTTTCATTAAGAAGGTGTGTTCTGATAATATTCTTTCGAGGAGAAAAATGGCTTCAAGAAAATTAAAATAATATCTTTTGTAGTTAAGTTAGTGTACTTATTATTTTAACTTCTGTTATGTTGATTTTATTGTTTGCTTTTTAGTATTACCTAACGTAACCTTATTGTTCAAGTATTGGAACAATGAGCATGATAGGGTTCAAATATTTTTCGTTTAGAAAATGTAACCACTATTTTTAGATGTATTTGCAATGTAATTGTCAATATATATATATATTTATTTTTTCAATTTATTTTTTTTCTAGACCCCTAACTATAGAACAGTTTACTGCCATGAAGAGAATATCTGGAAAGCCGACATTTATATGGAACTGCCGATTGATGGTGATGAAAGTGAAGAAGTGGTGATGAAGATGATTGTTCAGATGTAAATCGATTTGGTGGTGGACAGTTGAGAGCTGGGGCCAGTGCAAAAATTACGCATCAAGGAATGTCATTCAGATTGGGCGAAGAAGGCAACGACGAAGAAGAAGAAGAGTTATATCAGCGACATAGGAAAAAGTAAGAAAGAAAAGTCCAGAATGAAACAGAGATTCAGAATGAAAATATTCCAAGGCATGCTTCTGAAATAGAAAGTGACGAGGAGATGAATATGCCATTATCTAAGCTAAGAAATAAGTTACCTTTTGGAGAAGTAATTAGAGAATGGCACAAAGGTGTCGAGTTGAAATCGACTTTTTCAACATTTATTCCTTCGAAAAGTACTTCTCAGGTGCTAGATGATGCGGTTTCTTGTTTTGATTTTTTTTTGTTGAAGAAACAATGTTACTTCTTACAGAAATGACCTGCTATTATGGACAAAATCAAAAACATCATCCAAATTTTGTAGTGACTGCTAATGAATTTCGTTGCTTTGTTGCCATTCTATTACTATCGGATTACTCTACAGTGTCAAGATGGCGCATTTGGTGGGAAATTGGAAGTGAAACTGAAAATACTTCTGTCGTAAACGCAATACGTCGAAATCGTTTTGAATTAATAAAACAGCAACAAAAACAAACAATGCTAAACAAGAGATTTTTACACTTTGCAGAGAACCAAGAACGCATTGATGAAAGATTGGTGCCATATTTTGATCGCCATGGAGTTAACCAATTTTTGAACGGAAAATCAAATAGGTTTGACTACAAAATGTGGTGCATGTGAAGAACTCTTATCTAACTAAGTTTTGAGCCATACCAAGGAGGTTTGCAAAAGTGGAATAAAGTTTCTGTTGGCCTGGGTGGGTCAGTGGTGTTGCACTTTTCGTTAACTTACTTTCAACTCTTCCATTTAAAATTTATAGCGATCGTTTCTTTTCGTCACTAAAACTAGTACATAGACTAAAGCAGAATGGTATTAGTTATACCGGTACCATAAAGTACAACAGAATTGAAGTGCCAAATTTTGCAGTGATGTCAAGGGTGAATTAATAGTTACAGCGTGGCATGGCAATTGAATTGTTTTGACAGTAAGTAGCTGCGACAGTTCACACGAAGAAAAAAAGTAGATAGGTGGATATCGTCACGAAAAAAGAAGTTAGCTGCAAGTCAGCCACTGGTAGTTTCCCAATATAATAAATTTATGGGTACTGTAGATCGGATAGTTCAAAACATTGACAACTATCGAGTTGGTATTAGATCAAAAAAATGGTGGTGGCCTATATTTACTTTTTGTCTCGATGTGTCAGTTCATAACGGATGGCAGCTTTGAAGAAAACAGATTGTTTAAACCAATTTTCAAAATTATAGTCAAGCACCAATCAGAGGTGGGCATTCTACAATAACAAAACCATTACCTTCCAGAGTTTCAGATCATTCGATTTGATCAAACTCAGCATTGGCTTGTCCCAGTGCCAAACAAAATCGTTGCGCATATTGCAAAAAAATACTACAAAGATATGCAGTAAGTGCCATTTGAATTTACACGGAGATTGCTTTGTTCCTTTTCAAAATTAATAAGTGAATTAATAAAATTATTATGTTATTTTTAAGTTTTTTGAAAAAAAATAATAGTTATTTTTATTGTTTTATTTAAACGGTTCGGTTTAGTTCATTTTTTTTGTTAGAAATGTGTTGATTATTTGTCCAATAAAATACTTTTTTATAAGGCAGTGGTAGTCTCATACATGCTCATTGTTTTGGCCCAAGTTATGGCTAAGAAACCTAAAAACAGTTAAAAATACCAATTTTTTACAAAACACCAGACAAAATAATAACTCGAGCAAAAAAACGGGTTAAAAACATGACAACCCCCACCTGTAGATATTGAATGGTATCGGAAATAATGCAAGATATGTTGATGTCACTACCACTCCTTATATATTTAATTAATTCTTCATGTTAAGGGTAGAAACTAAGTTCCTTAATTCCAGCAGCTCACCATTTTCGCTGGGTGGAAACGTTCTTCATTGAAAGACAAACTTTTTTTATGGAAACATTTTCCGGTTATCTGACAACCTTCATAAACTTTTTGGGGCTAAAAGTATAGGGTTTAACCACGTAAAAAAATACTCTCATACTTTTTGTGTGGGATCATTTTATTTACTGTTAAACACATTTTACAAGAGGAACACTTTTTTATATTTTCACTGCTTCTACTTTTTTATTTTTTTTTGAATTTCGATACTTCTCGTTGGGGAGTATCTTTGAACAACAAAATTTCAAATCGGTGTTTGAGTAACTTCAACCTTTTTTTTTTTAATTTTTTTAACTTGAATTAAAGCTGTAAATGTACTAATTCCTCACAAAAATAAATTAAAATATGATCGCTAACAGTTTAAGACTTAGAGCACATAGAGTAGATACACATAGCTTGAGCACTTTCTAAGCAATCGGGTTTATGCGCTGACATGCTAAAATACTACGCTATTAATATTTTATTCTTTCATTCTAATATGCAAAAATATAAAAATAAACGATATTTTTCAGATAAAATACAATTAACAATATAAATACTACATGCATCTGATATAGTAATGCAAGTTTATACAAAATAGTAATTTCAAAAACTATGATACGACGGTGAATATGGAATTTGACAAAACGAGTTCAAAATAAAGCGCGATGATAATGGATAACAATTTTATTCCAACGAGGTAACACAAGTAAAGTAATTAGTATAACCGTTGTTAATAGCGTAACCATAACAATATTTTCGGTTCTAAGTGTGTATTCCCACCTGAAACACACCAGTAACGCCATCTCGTAGCTATAAAAGTGTCATTAACAAATACAACACTAATTGTCGTTACTTGCTAGAAAGACACAGCTATATGACGCCGAACTATCTCGGTAATGTGTAAAAATCCGTTATTTTTAGTTGAAACTTTGACCGCTCATCAACTGGACGCGTTACTATTTCCTATTTTTTTAAATATGGCACCCTACGGTGATCGGTGTTCCTCTTGACTCGTCATAAAAAACGTGTGAAAATTAGAAAAATATCTAAAACATTAAGTGAAAAATAGACAATTTCGCCTGATGTTTATGTGTATGAGTCGTGCAGAACACGGCTGTTACGAGACGTGGTTAATCTAACATCTAGAACTATCATGCTTCTTTTATCATATAAAAGTGCCTACAAATGATGATGTGTGCCAATCCAACGCCGAAATGTCATTTAATTTCTACAAAGACAGCAAAATCTGCAAATGAGCGTTGCTCTTCCTGTCCTGGTTTTAGCGGAATACATGATCATTTAAAAATGGTATTTGATGAAAATCAAGTGACAAATATTAGTTTGAAAAATGGGAAAGTACAGACCGTTTCACGATAGCCACCCAAGTGCTTTCTACTGACGATTCTGTTGACTATTTGTCTAACGCTTTGGACATTTTGAAGCCGCATGCTCATATCGCTGAACAACAAGCGCTTTATTTTAAAACACTGAAGGAAACCATCTCTGAAGGTGAAATTCTCGTTCAATGTGACTTTGCCGAAAATTATAGTTTTGTCGAGCCACACNATGCAAGACATGTAGACATTATAGAAGAAAATGTAAAGTGTATATGTTTTAGTGATGAGGAAAAGGTAAATGATACTCGTAGTGAAATTATCACAGATGAAGCGTATCAAAGTCAGAATACTCGAAATACCAGTGACTTTGAAGAACCTGAACAAAATATTAGTGATACTGAAAACAGCGAACCAAATACAATTAATATTAATGATAGTGAACCAAATACAATTAATGTTAATGATGAGACTGAATGTAACTTAAGACGTTCTACTAGAGAGCCAAAACCGAATAGTCGTTATTTTAACGAAAATACTGTTCAATATGTCTATGTAAACTTTTGTAATGCAGTCGTTCCTGGTACAGTTAAGGAAGCGATGCAAATGAGCGATTCTGAAAATTGGAAAAAGGCGATGGATAGTGAAATTTGTAGTCTTGAACAGAATAATACTTGGAAACTAGTCGAAAAACCAAAAGATAAGAAAATTATAGATGTAAAATGGATTTTCAGAAAGAAAAATGAGAAAACATATAAAGCTAGGTTAGTTGTTAGAGGCTTTCAACAAGAAGATTATATAGATAACATTTATTCTCCTGTTGTAAAAGTACAAACATTTAAATTATTACTTGCGATTTGTTGTCAAAGTGGGTATATTATTGACCAGTTGGACGTTGAAACAGCGTTTTTGAATGGAAAAATAAATACAGAAGTCTATGTAAATCAGCCTGAGGGGTTTGATGATAAATCAGGTAGAGTTTATAAATTGTTAAAGTCTTTGTATGGCTTAAGAGAAAGTCCAAGGTCATGGTATGAATGTTTTAACGAGTTCATGTATAAATTAAAATTTACAAGAAGCAAATATGACTATTGTTTGTATGTGAAATGTCAAAATGACGTATATATCTATGTAATATTGTTCGTAGATGATTTGCTGATATGTAGTCAAAGCCAAAAGGCAATTTAAGATGTAAAATTAAAATTGTCTAAACGATTTAAAATGAGAGACATGGGTAAAACAGGAACTTATGTTGGAATAGATATTGACTATGATATTATAAACAATAAAATGACATTTTGTCAAAAAATTATATAGAGTCTTTGGCAATTAAGTATAATTTGGAAAAAGCTAAATTGTATAACACACCCATGGAAACTAATTTAAAGCTAAAACCTGCGAAAATTCCAAATCCAAATATAAAATATAGAAATCTAATTGGCGAACTCTTATATATAAGTACAGGCACTCGTCCTGATATAGCGTATAGCGTTAACTATTTAAGTCGTTTTCAAAACTCTTATGACGAAACACATTATAAATATGCTCTTAGAATCTTGAAATATTTGTATGCAACTAAAGATCTGAAAGTAAGCATATAGAGATGGATGAGCTCACAAATACTATCATTGATTTTTTGTCGAGCGACGAAATGCAGGAGGCTGCCATCCAAAAAGAATACGATGATAAGGACGCGTATACTTGTAAGTTTTTACAACGCAAATATAAGTTTGACGCGCGCGTAGTTCAAAAAAGTAACGCGCGAACAGGGAATCAACCCGTAAAAAGAAGC